TTGCGATGTGAGTTGTCACGCTTGGAACTCCACCCACCAAGATCTCCGCCTTGTAGATGGTGAGGCAGAGCGGATACAGTTCTACTCGCCTCAGAACGACCAATTTTCCAATTTTCCTCCGACCCCTCTGAAGTAGAGCAGAACGCCGTCCCGGTCCCCCCCGCCGTCCGAGTCGCAAGTTGGAGCCTTCTCCAATGACCCGGCGCCTGACAAGCGGTGAGAATAGGCTGATAGAAGACCTCACATCTTCCGAACCATGATTTATGGCGCGAAACAAGACACCTCAACATCGGGCCACCAGGGTACCACCTATGCAGGAGCTTCCACACCTCCTGAGGCAGTGCCGAGGCTTCTGAAGTGCCATCCAACCGCAGATGTGTTCACGGTCGCAGGAACTTGCAGAGTGATTTCAAAAGAGATGGGCCCAGTTGGCAGCAATCCGCCCTTTACAGAGGTGCCGAATGACGATCTGTGGGGACAATGCGATAAGCGCCAATCTTGACAAGGTAGCAGGTAGCATAAGAACGTTCAACGGCGATCCAACGGTTTCGGGCCTGAAAATGACACATCTCAAGCTAAGGATTACATATATGATGACACAAAATGTCTATCTGTGAATGCGTTCAGGATGTCAGACTATGTCAGAGTACTCTTCGTTGCACCGAGCTCCTTGTTGATCAAGATGAAATCCCTATTCCTCGGACAGGGCGGAAGGGCTCCGAAGAGTCCTACAAATCTCCAGCAACTGTGACTTCTCTCCATTTATCTCCCCAATAAATCAAACCAAACTGTTCAAAAAGAAATGACCAGCTGCGGAGCTGACCCCAAAGCAGATGATCTGAACCCCTGACGTGGGATTGGATTGTCTTCACCAAAGCATCCTCACTGTCCCGTCATTATCATTCAACATTGCTCATCCCAAGACACTCTACAAGGCCACTCTGCAGCTGTGGACATCCAGGCCTTACAACATGTCAACAAAGTCATGCAAAGGCAAGACAGGCGTGATTGATGTCTCTTGAATTGTTGAGCACATTGAGCACATGTTCACAAAAACGATTCACCGGAAGAAAACGAGAAGAACCCGTTGAAGGTTCTCAGTCTAGATGGGTGGCCCCCCCGCTCGTCGCAGCGGTCCCACGGCTTTAAAGAAAAATGCTGACGATCCGAGCAGCTGAAGAGCCTACTAGATGGCAAAGTCGATTGTGGTACACGGATGTACACAGCCAGCAGACGATCCATGTATTTTTTTTTGAATTGACCCGTGGTTTCGATCATTGTCCGAAGGGCCCGACCCCAGTGGTTTTGAGGTTCTATGTGTTCTGCAGGGGAGTAGCCCCAAATCAGGCCCCTACCCACTCTGGCTATGGCCTGCGTTCCACCAAGACACCGCAGGATGAGGTCCGAGTTGTCGATGCCAGGGGGGCGTTCACCTAAACGACGATCTACCGGTGCACTCTGAAGATCTGGATTGTCTGGATGAGTCTTGACAACGCTGCACAGTTCTACTATGATCATTATCACCAAATAACCATGCATTCTGCATCTCTGTCTCTGTGCACCAGAGATCAGAAAAGAGGTGAACGTGATCCAACGTAGTCAAAGAAAAACAATGGACGCACGCAACATCCCGCCAACATTCATTCGCACGCCTCCTATGATGCACTGTTATGACTGTACTGGTAGAAATGTTCTAGGAGGAAAGGGCATCGCTACGAACCGAGCAAGGACGTTACGAACTAGGGGCGCTCCTGGCCTTACCTACTAGGACCCAAAAGGACGCTACAAACGGACACTTTGCTGACGAAACGTGTCTCGTGGGTCCCACCTTGGGCGATTGACAAGAAACACATGGGTCGAGAGACGAAAACCGATCTGCGCCTGAAAAAAAAAAACAGAATGACCACAACCAGATTTAAGCACAACTACAGTCTCCGTTACAACACAAACGATTCTTGTATTCAGGACATTTCTGGCACTTTTCGCAACAAGAGACCCGAAAAAGGATCATTACAGTAAGTGTGTTTCTTCACCCATGCATGGGTCGACACAAATGGGGCCACCAAAAATAACGATGTCGACACCAATAACCTCAAGAGCCCAGTTAAACACCCAATGAGCTGGGGTGTCGCTACTGACCGGGCCCACGGAAAACCTTGATGAATAAAACCTCACCATTTGAAATTGTTAAACCTGTATATACATATATATATATAATACATATATATATATAATACATATGTATATATCATAATTTGGGGGTTGTATAATCAAGAGTCTACATTAGAACTGCTTGTTCGAGTGTTCACATCTACACTGAGGTCTGCTTGCACGATCTTGCACGTTGCTCTGATCAAATCACTGTCATCTGAGACGATGTTCGTTGCTATGACGAGGGCAAAAGCGCTTGTTTGGTCGTAGCATATATTGTATCGTGGAATCGTGCAAGCCCCAAACATGGCCTTCACGATGTTTGCATGCGTGGCAAAATTTGCATGTCAACACCTTCGTCTTCAGGACATCCTTGCCGCCGGGAAGCCTTTAGTGGTACCACTGCAGGACCGACTCCTTGGAGCAGGTGACCGGTGAAAAGTGTATGGATCCTTTCTGGTGATCTTGCAACTCCAGGTTGCACCAAATTGATTTGTCTAAAAAGCCTTGCCAAATGTTGTCAAGGCGGAAGGAATCAGGGACCCCACAATGTGGCCAAGTCACAAGTGAGCGGGTTGGGATGGCAGCTCAGTTTTGCTGTCCTTAGCTGTTCCCCACCCAGTTCTGTTCCCAGCTCAAGAAGGTTCCCTCAGGCAGCATGTTTGCTGGTTGATCTTCTCACCCTCCATGCTCAGCAATCCATGTGAGTTGCTTTACAAACTAATTGCTCACGGCGCATTCGTTCAAAGTTAGGACATCCCGTATCGGTTTGGAGCGTTTCACACACGGGCGCTGCAGGTATAGCGTTTTGTAGGGTTTTGCATTGACTTCCAAGCACATATTGCATGTTGACAGTAGGGTTATAGTTGTTTGGACGTCGCATATTGCTGTTCACGGAAAACTCCAAATCACAATCTTGGATGAAGCGGCCCTTGTATCAGGTAAATGACAATAATCTGGACAACGACTCACATATTCGTGCAGGCCACAGTGAGCGACCAAGTGCGAAAGTGCGGCTTCTTGCTTTGCTTCCACTCAACCGAGTGGTGCTGTTGGGGAGAAAGAGAGAGAGAGAGAGAGACAGAGAGTGAGAGAGAGTGAGAGAGAGTGAGAGTGATGTGAAGGGTCACCCTGCTGGGAATCCCTCCAAATGAAAAAGGTGTCAAAAACGCCCCTTTTCCCCACCTAACGAACCACCCAGTCGATCTGGCGAGCCCAGTGAGTGGCTTGCTTCTCCCAAGCTCGAAATGCACGCACCAAACACTGCCAAGGCACATAAAGCGTGTAATCCTTCCAGAGATCCCACCATCGATTGCTGAGCACATACCAGTCATCTCCTGGTAAATGCTGTAGGTAATACAAATCTTCCCACTGAGGCATCTGGGCTAAGAGGTCTTCCATTGCCTGATTGTGCTTTTTCCACCCACAGGTGCGCCTATCATGCATGGGAGAACGAAAGCACTGAGTTTGGGAAAGATCTTCAATAAGCTTCTCTTCTAGATGTTCTGGAAGGGGAAGACCTTCAGACCTACAGATCCGTCGGCGACCGCCGAAATCGCGTGGGACAGGCCACGTTGCGCCACGACGCCGGGAGATCCTCTTTGCAAGCTAGAGCCTTGCTGAACCTGTCGAACAAGCAGGGCCTGGCGCAAAAAGAGATCAGAGTGAATTAATATCTGGGTCATTTATTTATATAAGAAATCTCTACCGAGCATGGTATTTGACCATGATTCTCGTTATTGCATTCTAATACCATCTGTTCTTCTAATGCTACCTCATGTTCTGTTTAATGTGTTCATATGTTTTCTAATTTTACTGATTACTCATGCTTCTTTTGCTGGTTTTCGTTCTGAATTTCTTCGTGGCCATGGCCACAGCCTTCAAATGCACCAAGGCACCTCTCTGATGACAAACCAGTACCTAACACTACTTAGCACCTCCGGGAACCATTGAAAACAGGAGCATAAGGTGGGCCCTTGGTCTGCTTGGTGGAGGGTGTAGATGCCTGAACAGCATTCCCAGAACCATGCAAAAAAATGTTGAGGTTCGTGCCACCTTAACAGCTCTGCGACGCTTTTGGGAAGGTCGCAGTCATGCTCAGCCCATAAAAAAGAACACGGATGCTTGTACCAAGTGCCTCTATCTGGTGAGCACAGGCAGGGCAGATTGTAATGACCGACAAATATCCTCATCGGGATGTGTTGGATATAATCTAAGCGTCCTCCCCAAACGGATTCTGTGTACCAGTTGCACAGGATCTTGAGTCGCATCAAATACACTCAGATCACGCCCAGCTCCGCTGTCCTGGTGCTGCGGGTCTTCGTAGCCCGAGTCGTAGCTGGTCATTGCACACGCATGGGCGAATTGGTCTTTGGCAACGTGTTGAAATCTAAAGAATCTTGGGGCCATCTGTGGTCTGAGTGGAGGGCCAAGCTGCCACATGCTGGAAGCCTCGTTTGAACTGTCGGTTGAACTGCATGTACCTCTGAATCTGGAGCCAGAGGTGGCCAGAGGCGGTGTCAAGAAGTCTGATTCCATCTGAACTTGCTCAATACATCGGCCAAGCTGCCAATGTTCAGCCAAGACCATCCAAGCCATTCTTTTTGGGGTGACCAAAACAGGCCTTGACCGAGACCAATTCACCTTTGAACATGCGGAAGGTGTGCCTTGCTACTCAAACATCCCCACACCTCCGCCCAAATGATCGGATCATCACCAGCATGATGTGGGAAGCATCTTCAACTGTCATCATGATGCTCACTTTCATTGCTTGACATTTACTTCCAGAACTTGACGTTCCCGTTCATCAGAAGAAGAAGAACCGGCCAGTCCATAGCCCAGGGACCTGCCTGGGTCCTTCTTCGATGATGTGAGTTTAGCAGCCCAAGTGCCTTGAAGGTTCAAACACCAACCTGTAACTCGCAGAAACAATGTCCATAGTTTTATTTGTCTATTAGCTGCAGCTTGGCTCCAGTGACCTACTCCAGTCTGTTTAGGTCCAGAAAGCGGTCAAGAGATTCCAAGAAAGGGTTGGAAGTGAAGAAAACCAAAGAACCCCGCGTTTGGTGGCTTGTCCAACGAGGTATGTCTTAACACAGACCTCGTACTCTGCTACTCTGGAGGGGTCGCTGCCCCTCGATCTGCCGCGCCTCTTTCCACCGAGTGATCTGCTTTTCCAATGTGCTCAAGGCAGCGGCAAGTGCCACCACCTGACTTCGGCCCACCCAGTTGGTTTTTTTTGTTTATCTTTTGGCTCATTAGTAGACACCTACTTACTACTTAATTACGTAAGCGAGAAGTAAGCTACTAGCAATAGCTAGCTACTACATATGGATGCTGGATAGCTCACGCTTCTTCAAGGAAGCTCCCCCGCAGCCATCTAGGCCCAAAACCTTTTGGCTTACGCCCCCGCGCAAGGGCCGGGGTCCGGCTGCTCGCTTCCGTGAGGCGAGGGTTGGACGTCAACCGACCTGGTGCTCACAAAGCACTAGGATTGCCATGGAGACTAAGGAAATGAAGAGAACCGTTGGAGAAAATGCAGTAGAGGGGCTCATTCAATGGTCGACTGTGGGGATGCCTTCGACGCTTGCACTCACTGTTGCTCAAGCTCTTCGTGGCATTGCCCAAACTGGCGTATGTGGCCGTGCTGATGACGAATGGGTACTCTTTGGGGAGGTGCTTGAGATGCTACCTGGTTCGCCTTCTCGGACCAAGGTGCGCCGTACCTCTATGTTGCTGCAAAAGGATGAGTGTTTGGATCACAGTTGGCCTACTTTCGATTTGCTGTGCACTGCAGAACATTGTAAAGTGGATCTTTCTCCTGGAATGTGGATTGGTTTGGTGGTCAAGCCCCATCAACGACATGATGATGCATGTATAGTGGCTGTTGAAAACGTGCCTGTGTGGAACCTCCCTGCCTACCATAGCAGTCTGGCGTGGCAAGTTTCTCACCTCTTTTGTGGTGCCTATGAAGGCTGGCTGCGAGCTATGTGGTGGCTTCAAAATGCCAACTTAGGCTTTGCATTTGCCTCTCATGTTTCGGTTGACTGGTGCCCAGAAGTGATGAAGACGTGGAGCTATAATCACAAGCAAGAGGTCCTGACTTGTCCCATTCGAGTGGACTTCAACCCTACCGGGCCGTATGTTGGTATTCTGGCTGATATCAATGATGTCACAGTGCTGAGAGCCACCTCTAGCAAATCCAACCTTCTTATGACCTTGTCCCCGCCATGTCCCAGCTGGAGTAGAGGTGGCAAGAACTCTGGCCTTGCTGCTGATGAAGGCTTCTGTTTCTTGGATGCTATTGTGCATGTGGCCAGGGTCCGACCAATTTTGGCACTTTTCGAATGCTCGGATGGCTTAGAGGCCCATCCTCATTGGCGTGTCCTCTCGGCGGCTTTGCAGCTTGCTGGCTATCAGCGTTTGTGGTCTCAAGATGTTGCTATGCATCAGCTTACAGGCAATCACAGAACCCGATGGCTGGCAGTATGGTCTAGGCAGGATGTTGTTGGCCATAAATCAGCTGAACGTCTTCTCTGTGCCACTAGCCGACGAGCGTTGTGGAATGACCAAAAGCATTGTTTTGCCCTGCCTCAGTCACTGGTTGATGACCTTACACTGGATGAAGCTCTGTTGCAGATCTATGGCCGCAAGGACCTTCTCCCTCCAGCAAAGAAGGCACGGGTGCTTGAGGGAGCCTCCACTCTCCAAGTGTTGCTTCAAAGAACGCTGCAGAGTGGGGAGTACTTGCCCACCCTGTGTGCCTCGTACACTGCGCAGCACCATCTTCAGGCAGAACATGTGCAATCCAAAGGAATCTTTGCTACCCTCATCCAGGAGAATGGTGGGTTCCGCTTTATTGATCCATTTGTGTTTGCTTCTCTCTTTGGGACTACCTCGACCTTAGCGTTGCCTGGGAATTTGCGTACAGCATTCCATCAATTGGGAAATGCAATATCGCAATTGCATGCCCTGGTTGCTGTTCTCTTTGCCATGGAAGGAGTCTCTGGAGAAATGATTCCTAAGCTGGCTCTTGTGACACAATGCTGGGAGGAGCGCCTCACTACAGACAATGCGATTGTACGAGTGGTTGATGGGATGTATGTTCTTCAACCTATTGCAGATGTTGTTGGGAAGGCCATTCCAAGCCTTGTTACTTGGCAGCCGTGGTTGGCGGGATGCACTTTGCTGCGTTTCTGTGATGATCTTACCCTTGTACCCATCAACAAGAATGAGGAGTCAAATGTTCTTTCTGATCTTCTTCAGGCCTTAGAACTGGCTCCTTCGCATATGCATCTCCTTGTGCTTGATAGTGATGGACATGAACTGCCGAATGATTTGACCTGGGCCCAGCTGCCAGTTGGCAACGTCACCTTGAAGTGTGGCTCCTTTGTCCTTGGGAATCTTGTTGTTCATCGTGCAGGACTTGGAAATAGTGAGGATCCCATTGTCTCTCCCACTCAGCAGTGGGGGGAACACGATGAAGACGTTGAGATTGACTGCTTGTTGGATGCGCACTTCAATGGCTTCCTCCATGTCATCGAACATGTATGCCAGGATCAGCAACCAAGGTTGACTGCCAGAGTGCTGCTGCTTCATCAAGATGGTTCGTACAATTGGGTCCAGCATGCCAATGTTGATCGTCTTGGCTCCATCCCGACCTTTCAGTGTGGAGATCAGTGCATGCATTTTGTCAAGGTCAATCAAGAGGCGTGCAGAACCCTGTTAGGTGTTCAAGTTATCCTGGCAATTCATGGTCCCTATGAGCCAGTTAGTTCTCAAAAGTGGATCCTCCTTGCCGGTGGAACTGATCTCAAATGGTTGAAGATTTGCAGCATGCCTCGAAACCTGACACCCATCCAATGTTCGACTCAGCTGGAACAAGCATGTGCTATTACTATGCGGAATGCTATTGAATGTCGTGCTGATCAACCCTTGATGCTCATCAATGGGGATGTCCTTTGGTGTGATGCTCGTCCGGCAAGAGCGGCTCAAGTGTCTCTTGGTGGTATGGACCACCTTGCGGAGAATCCTGGCTGCAACATACACGATGACCATGTCATGGCTCGTCTTCTGCAGTTCAACCTTGAGCCCGGGGCTCTGGCAATTGATGAAATGGTTTTCCATTGTGACGTTTTGCAGCTTTTGATGCCCTCGATTTGTTGGTGTCCACCTGCCATCTGGGTTAACAACGAAGCCCAATTCCGCTTTCCTGTGGAACCGGCGGATTTGCAACGATGCTTCCAACATTTCGTGGTTCCGATATTGGTGCTTTTTGATTGGATCTTTGTCGAGGTTCGCTTCTTTGAAGGCCAATGGAGGGTATTGTATCACTCACCTGAGCAACTCACTGTGAGACAACGTACAGCGGTTCTGGAACTCATTAATGTCATGCGGATTCGAGTCCTTCAGAATGCCTTCAGATGGATCCGAACAACAGAAGATTCGGAGCTGGCATCGTGGCATACCCTCAGGACATTCTATGCTAGAGCTGGAGCGCCACTTCTGCCTATCACTCATCGAACAACTCAACGCCTGCAGCGCTCCCAACACAGTGAGCATGTTATGCAGATCATTGACCAGGCGGACTTTGTTTGGCGAGATACCCAGACAGATGATCGCATGCTTCAGTTTGCAAGAGCAAGTCGAAATGCCTTCTTGGTTGCAATCATGGAATCACCCAGCAGAGCGAATGATCTTGCCCTTCGTGCTACTGGAAGACCCCCTCAGGGGTACAACATCAACGAGATCTTCTTTGTTGCTGATGACTGGCTGGATATGAGGGCCAACATCTATCGCACACATCCGGGATGGGCCACCAGTGATGAGATCGAATTCTTCATGTCGTACTTCCTGCCAGAGTCATTTTGTCCACCAGTCTTGCATCATGACCTTTCGATTATTGCTGCTGGAGTCAAGCCAATGTCTGATCAAGTCCAGCGCTTTGTTGCACTGAGAGAAGGACACTGGGTTGGCATTGAAGTCATTTGCAATGCAGTTGAACATACTTGCCGAGTCGTCATTCTTCAGGCACCTGCAACTGCTCAGCAATACTGGACAACCTTTGCCGAAGAATTCGTTGTTCCGCTGGGCTTCAGGCCAATCATCATTGTTGACACTACCAGAACCCGCCCAGGAATGTGCGGATGGGAGCTGCTCCACAGGTGGATTGTTGCAGATTTTGCTGTGCCACCTGATTTTCATATTCCTGCCCAGAAGCGACAGTTTCTTGATCTTATCCTTGAGGAGTCCACCAGAGCATGGCAGACTGCAGGGGCTTCCCCAATGCTCAGGGCTTTTGCTGCAAATCTCAGAAGAGCTTTCCTTCTGGTTGGTGGCCTCCAGGTGTTGCAACCTTGTTCAGCAGTGTCTCTTGGTGGTATGGAAGGGCAACCTCAACCTGATCCAACTGCACCAGCAGTCGACCCTTGGCAATTTGACGATCCATGGGCCAGTAAGAAAAAAGTCATGAAGCAGAGCAAATGGGAGGATTTGCAACTCCAGTCGGATCATCCCTTTGTCGGCAAGGACAAGTCTTCGATTCCATTCGTGCAAAAGCAGCAGCTCTCCACGAACCGGGGAGGCATTGCCTTCGTCTCCAAAGGCAATCTGCAACATGCAAAGGAAGTTGTACCAAAGGAACCGTGTGCTCTTTTGCTGCCTATCATTGATCCGACTGACCCCCTTGCCAAGATGCCAAATTTGACAGGGCCTTTTGAAGTCATTGTCTTTGACTCGGCTTTGAATCAGGAATACAAGCGGCAAGTCCATTTGGTTGTGATCACGCCTGAAGTGCACTTTTCACTGCCAACGCCTTCTATTACGATGACCTTGGCCGCAGTGTGTGAGATGGTGCTCGAGTGTGATGCCAGGCTCACAACCAAAGAGATCTTTCATTCCTTCTATGACAACCCGTTGAGCAAATTCAAGGCAATGTTGAAAGAGGCTTGTTCTGATCCAATTTGGAATCATGCTGCCATCTATGGATATAGAGTCGTTCAGGAGCACTCCAAAGAGAAACATGATATGGTTCATCAATGCCTTCTCAAGGTACAGCAAAAGCATCGAACTCCACTCCTTGCTGCAAGTGGCAATGGTGATCTCATTGTCCGGGACTTCATTCCGAAGGGACAGCAGGTTGAAGATCTCTCCATCATTCCGCGTTTTTGGCCGATTGATCGGGTCAATAAGGCGGATTTGATCAAGGCAG